TCAGAACTTTCCATCTTATTGGAGGCCTGCCTGACGGCCGCCTGCCATTAGGCAGGCTTTAGTTCAGTTTCGCAAGGCGGGTACCATCCATTTGCTGAAAATGCTTCAACCTTTTACACGCTTTATTTCACCAATCTGTCAAATTTGTCAGATATTCTAATCTCTCTTTTGTAGCATTATTTGCAATTAGGCATACTACTTTGCTACTAAAATCTGACTTCAATTCTTCATTTCCGTCGCTTCCAGGTCTCTGTTTTCAGCTTCATTAAGCGCTGATGTCTCAAGGTCATAGAATAGGATGTTCAGAATACAATTACAGTACATCCGCAGCTCTGTGCTACTAACATCATAGTCCTGGGTATTAATAGCTTTTTACTGCTAATGCCAGGGCCGTTATACTGTAACAAATGTGCTCCTAAGGTACAGACGCAGTGCTAGAGATGCGCTGTCAAAGGTCAGACAATCTTTGGTCTGTGTTCTACCCATTTACACCCACATCGTCTTCATCGCGTTAATCGAGAGATACAGGTCAGGAAACCTCTGCTTCAGAGTTGGAAACAGTGATATCGCAGCTTCAGTGTTGTCGGCAAGCAACGTTATGCATCCGTCAGTGGAAGAGAGTTTGCGCAGAGTTTGCCCCTCTTGTCACTCCTTCCTTTCATTTGTAGCTTTTCTCCTTCCCACTGGCTGAAGCACTGAGTCAAGAAATATCGCATAAGGAACTGGGGACTCTACTTATGCTTGTCTTACTCCAAATTTGGTTCGAAACAATTTGCTGAACTTGTCATCATTCGCACTGCACTTGATTAGAGATGATAGCTGTTTAATAATGTGAATAATTTTTGGTTTGATTCCTCATTGTTCCCAAACTTTCCACTTAGCAACTTTTTTCAGATTGAGTCAAATGCCTTTGTGAAACCGACGAATATTTCGATTCCAGTTCTCTGTTATTTTCCGTTAGCTGTCTCATTGTCAATATGTGATCCAAACATCATCCGCCTGCCCTGAAAGCAGTTTGTGCTTCACCCAAGATCTTCTCACGAGGGTGTCTCACCAGACCCCTCATGAGCACTATAGCAGGACCGAACATTAAGCTGATTCTACGGTAAATATTTGGATTTGAGCGAAAGCTTTTTATGAATATTAGGACCATAACACCTTTCCTTCAGTCTTTCCGGGCCTCACCGTTCTGCTACACAATTCAAAGAGATTCACCTACGTCAGCACTTCGTTTATTTCAGATTCCTTAATTAAGTTTAGTCGAATTTCGTCAGTCCCAAGAGCCCTGCCATTTTTCATTTGCCTTAATGCTTCAGTGGTCGCCGGTTTAGTATAAGCATCTATCACTTGTGCAG